GATGGATAAATGCACTTTTATGATGGATAAATGCACTTTTATGATGGATAGAAGCACTTTTATGATGGATAGATGCACTTTTATGATGGATAAATGCATTTTTATGATGGATAGAAGCACTTTTATGATGGATAGATGCACTTTTATGATGGATAGATGCACTGTTATAATGGATAGATGCACTTTTATGATGGATAGATGCACTTTCATGATGGATAGATGCACTGTTATGATGGATAGATGCACTTTTATGATGGATAGATGCACTTTCATGATGGATAGATGCACTTTTATGATGGATAGATGCACTGTTATGATGGATAAATGCACTTTTATGATGGATAGATGCACTGTTATGATGGATAAATGCACTTTTATGATGGATAGATGCACTGTTATGATGGATAAATGCACTTTTATGATGGATAGAAGCACTTTTATGATGGATAGATGCACTTTTATGATGGATAAATGCACTTTTATGATGGATAGATGCACTTTTATGATGGATAAATGCACTTTTATGATGGATAAATGCACTTTTATGATGGATAGAAGCACTTTTATGATGGATAGATGCACTTTTATGATGGATAAATGCATTTTTATGATGGATAGAAGCACTTTTATGATGGATAGATGCACTTTTATGATGGATAGATGCACTGTTATGATGGATAAATGCACTTTTATGATGGATAGATGCACTTTTATGATGGATAGATGCACTTTTATGATGATAAATGCACTTTTATGATGGATAGAAGCACTTTTATGATGGATAGATGCACTTTTATGATGGATAAATGCACTTTTATGATGGATAGAAGCACTTTTATGATGGATAGATGCAGTTTTATGATGGATAGATGCACTGTTATGATGGATAAATGCACTTTTATGATGGATAGATGCACTGTTATGATGGATAAATGCACTTTTATGATGGATAGAAGCACTTTTATGATGGATAGATGCACTTTTATGATGGATAGATGCACTTTTATGGACTTCAAAACAGAAACAACCATTCACTGGCATTATAAAGCTTGGAAGATCCAGGAATTTTTTTAATATAACTCTGATTGTATTTGTCTGAAAGAAGAATGTCATATACACCTAGGATGACTTGAGGGGGAGTAAATCATGGGCTAATTTTCATTTTTGGGTGAATTATCCCTTTAACTTAAAAAAGTGAGGAAACCCGTTGCCTTCAAATTATTAAGTAAATAAACTTTGTGCCTAATTGAAAAAATTAAGTTATGTGGAATTGTCGAGTTCAAATAACTTGTTTTTTTCAATTACGCATGAAGTTTGCTTAACTTAATAAAAGTGAGGAAACCCGTTGGCTTAAAATTATTAAGTAAACTTCATGCGTAATTGAAAAAAATAAGTTATTTGAACTCGACAATTCCACATAACTTAATTTTTTCAATTAGGCATGAAGTTTATTTACTTAATAATTACTTTTACTTAATTACTTAAGCACTGCAAATAATGACCGTTTGACTATCTCTCCCTTTCCTTTCTGAGAATATAAATCAAGAGTCATTTCTTAAATGCATTTCTATATATATAAAAATTAAACCGTAAGAAAAAAGAAGCACTTTACGGTTTGATTTGAATGATACTTGTTATTTCATTCAGGTCTCTGTCGACCGAGGGGAGATAATTACACACGCATGCACAGACAGAAAAAACAGGCATTGCACTGCTGTGTCGCCAGTACTTAATTACCTTGCTAACTCGAGACGCTGATTGCAAATGCATGCCTCTTGATTGGGACTTACAGGAGGGACTAAATGTAAAAAAAAAAAATATATATATATATATATATATATAATAATAACAAGGTATGAAAGCATTTCTCTGTCTGTTTGATTCAAGAAAGCGAGGTTCGAAAACGTAATATTAGAACAATGTTGCTTGTCATATTTCATCACAAAGAGACCAAGATATTGAAGAAGAACCTTGGACAAATGCTTACATTTTAATGTAATATTTATTTTTGTTTTATAGAAGAGAGGATTTGTTGGAAAGCACACTGTAAAAAAAAGTTGCTGCCTTAAATTAAGTTCAATCAGCTTGGATTTAAGTAATTTCAACTTAAATTATATTAAACTGACTTAAAAATTTGTTGAATCTTGTGTAACATAAAAAAAGCTTTTTTCCCCCAAAAACCTATTTTGATGAGTTAAAGCAATTTAAAAACATATGTTGTCACAACTTATTGATCATATAATTTTTTTTACAGTTCAGTGTTTTCCCACTTTTTCCTGTCTTATATACCCTCACAGCTCCATTATAGGCCTTTCCAGGTACAAAACTATAAATGTTTTCTGGTTTACACTGGACATCATTTAGCATTATCATTAATAGTGCTGAAATGTGATGATTCAACTTTCAAAAATGTACTCAATTACAAAAAAAACATATACTGTATGAATAATAATAAAATTTATAATAACATTTTAATTCATTATTATTTAGATGCTTTATCTTGTGTTTATGTCCATGTGCTTATTTTACTCTTTAAAATTTCTGTTTTGACAAAGCAAAACAGCAAAAAGGTCCCCATTGAAATAACCTTGCATACTAAACTTAGGCATTATAGATTTGTAGAAATATATAATTGAACTGCATCAGTAAATCTTCAGTTATGATTCATAGTCTGTACAAGATTCTTAGCTTTTAAATCTTTTTGTTCAACAATGACCAATTTCAATATAATGTTCCACTAAAAAAAAATCTAAATTGAATATGAAATATGTATGAGATGACATCTTAGTCATATTTATTAGATATCTCTGCTGGGTCCCTCTGTTACACAGGTTGGGGTTGTCATGGTGAAGAAAGGGTTTCTCACACATCATGTCTCCCATTCGGGCCAACGTATGCACACTGTAATGTTTTCCAGTTCTGTAGAGCAAAAGCCTGTATTTCAGTCTATCAGCTGTTCTACACCTCATGGCATACAAAGCATGGTTCGGTTTTGCTGCATCATGATGATTGCCTCTTTAAAATGTTCTCATCACTCAAAAAGTTTTTTTGTTACCCTGCAACTGAGCTATAACTAATAAACTAATTAAACTTAAACTAATTCATGAACTGCAATGTAGTTATTTTGGGCCGATTCTCACTCTTAAAGTTGAAGTGTTAGTTAGATATAAGTGAAGATATGATTCAGCTGCTTTTTTGAGTGTATTCTTTGATGAATAGAACGTTTTTAAAAAGGCATTTAGATTGTTAACATTTTTGTAACAATTTTAAAGTCTTTTCTTGTGTTACTTTTGATTAACTGGCACTAGAAATGTTGACATTTACTCTCAAGTTTGACATTTAATCAAGTTAACAGCACAAAGATTTAACAAGAACTATTAATCAATATATTCATAATACAAAAATATCTTGGGTTCCCTTTATCTAATACTAGATATTATCCAAAGATTGGAAACCATTAAATGTAACAAATAACCAGTAAAGGTAAATATGAAAGTCTGTAATTACTTTACGTAAATCAGATTATATGTGTAGTCCAATGGGTGAATTAAAGATGCCATTTCAAGTGTTAAAAACTCTTAACAGTGGGTCAGGATGGCAGCTATCTAGAAATCTCCTTCACATGTTCAGGATAATTGGGGCATTTTTTTTCTCTCAGTCATCTCAATGTCAAAATGCATGTGTTCCAATTTACCCTGAATTCACCCTACCTAAAAATTACAATTCTGTAAGGCGAGTAAATGAAATGAGACTAAAGCTGTGCAATAAATGCACCAAAGAATATCCAATATATTCCAATCTTCTGAAGCTATACAAAAGCTTTGTGTGATAGTTAATGATTATTCATTAAAAATGTCCCCTTGGAAATGTTTGGAAAACAGAATTTGACTAGGTATGTACCACAAAAATGTTGTATCAGTCTCATTTGGGGCCAGTGGCGCCTCTAATTCTTGCATATTCCGTGACCAAGGACCATTTACATGAATGACACTTTATTTATTTTTTTAGAGCTTTTTCAAGTTATTAATGACTTAAGTGTTGGTCTGTTTATGACACAAAGCTGGACCACTTATATGATGGTTTATGGTGCTTTTTGGTCATTCAGAAGCTTGACAGCCCCAATCCTAAGTCACTTAATTAGATGAAAAAGAGCAGCCAGGATATTCTTTAAAGTCACGTTTTGCAAAGAAAGTCACACGAGTTTTAAATGACAGAGTTTTCGTTTTCTGGGTTAAGTTCGCATTAAATATAAAAATTCTCTCCTTGTTATTATACTATAGATTTAAATGAAATTTTGTGTGAATCAATATTCAAACAGCAGAAGGGAGAGGTTTTAGTTGAACAACTTTAAATACTGTATACTATCTATCATACGGTTTAAGTAATAATATAATATAATGTTTTTGTTAATTATGGGGCTTGACAGTCTCATAGATCAAGTCCAGTTCTAATACTAATAGTTCTAAAGTACTCAGGCAATACCCACTTTGCTAAATGACAGCTTGGTTTTGCCCAGAGCACAATGGCACAGCCACAGTCCAATTACACTCACTTAAACTCTGCACACATAAGAGTGTTAATAAACCTTAATCAAAACTTGATCCACCGAGTTGTCTGTGCAAGAGTCAATTCATTATATTACCAACAGCAGAAGAATCCATCAGAGAAAACATTGTGACTCTAAGGAGGGAGGGATTTTCTTTGCCATATTTTCACAATGAATGGAACATTAATATGAAGCTTGGTTATTTGTAACCTAATTAAAGGTTTTATTTTGATTTGTGTTATGTTTTTGGTTCCATGGTAATATTGTGTTATTGTTATTATTACTATGCGTTTACCATTTATAGTATAGGTAATACCATGATGTACCAAGGAGTACTATTTTAATACCTTAGTATATATGATGCATAACAATGATACATGATCAATTGAAAATTGGCTTAATGATGTATTACAACACATTTATGACCTGAATACTCTCGTTTTGTCACGCGCAGGGGGATTCCAGGGAAGAAATGTGGGAAAATTATTGTGAAGGCTGAGGAGCTTAACAACTGCAGGGTAAGAGCTAATATTGATCATTTGAATTCAGGTCTAATCTCTCACTAAATCACTCACTGCCAGTTGGTAGTTGCCTACCTAAAACATCCAGTATATACTCATTTGTCATTTAATACAGAAGTATAAACAAGCATTAAAAAAATAGTTGATTTTCGAATGAAATTTTATGTGTAGAGCGATACGTTTTTAGCTTAGCAACATGCTAACATTAAACTCTGTTGAAATCAAGTAGTATCCAAGTCTCCTGATTTTTCATAATGAAATTGTGTGAAGAGCATCACGTTGCTTGCTAGCTTGGCAACATGCTGATGTCAAACTGTAGGCTACCGAAATCAATTATGATCCAAGTCTCTTGCAATATTGCTGATTTTATGGTTTACATTTTTGCTAATGCATCATACTAATGTCAAAATCTTCTCTGCATGTCTGTTTTAGTCTATTCAAAGTATTTATCTTAGTTGTAATACACAGGATTCAGTAATAGTGCACATGATGTGCCAAGAACTCCAGCTGTGCTAACACACACACACATACATAAATACATAAAGGCCTCCGCAATGCTAGCGGAATTTGTCTTTCACAACAGGGACCAATAGACCTTATCCCATTCCCTGCTGGAGCATTGCATCTCACACAGTGAATGTGATACGCTTGTCAAATGGATTTCTGATTAGGCCTTTTAGCCTTGCCATCTGGGCATTGTAGTCAAGCAAATATAACATGCCAAGCTATTTAGCATTTGTGTAATGCTAGCTGTCTAGAAACCACAAATGGCCACATACTCAGATCATCTATACTGATATTGTTGTCCTAGGTCTGCTAAGTGCTCTAAATCCACATGTACACTCCCATTGCCCTCATAACCTGCTTTTCTCCCTGCAGGAGTCTGTGATGATGCAATTTTGTGGCAACAAGCTGGACAAAAAGGACTTCTTTGGCAAATCGGACCCCTTCTTAGTGTTTTACCGCAGCAATGAGGATGGAACGTGAGTAACACAGACACATGAGTGGATTCTTGTCAGCTACACACACTGCCCACAACGTTAATCTCATCTCCAGGCTCTGTGTTGGGGAAATGGCTTTCTATTGAATTCCTTTAGGTTCATACCCATAGTCCTTTGCACCTGGATCAGCAGGGGTTCTCCTGAAATGGAACCAGAGGTGGGTAGAGTATCCAAAAACTGTACTCAAGTAAAAGTACAAGTACTTATAGAAATATTTACTCAAAGTAAAAGTAAAAGTAATAATCTTAAAAGTTACTTGAGTAAGAGTAAAAAAGTATCCAATGAAAAAACTACTCAAGTAGTTAGTTACTAGTTACTTTGGATCACATAAGCCTATATATATATATATATATAACATGACATTATTTAGATATTTTTTTTATTTTAATGACTAAAATTATCATAATTAGATGAGCTATCTTTGCAACAAAAACAGAAGAGACAAACATTATTTCTGTATATCTGTATATTATATCTATAGCCCGAAAACCATTGCCTGTCCTTTGGTTTGTATAATAGTATAATAACTTATACAACTACATTTGGATTATTAGACAATGTCGGAATAAAGTGACTCTATGGAGTTTTGCATTCATATGTAAAGGGGGGGGGACCATTGACACAGATTAGAAAGTGTTAAAACTCTCCACATGTGCCCGCAGTCATGTCATGCCAAACACAACCAACGATCAAATGCACGGATCTTCTTCTGTCTGTTCTCCAAAATGTATTTAAATGTAGGCTATATTTGTGAAAGCATCTTTAAACTGGTTAACTGTGTCTAATAAGGCAGGCAAAGGCATTCGTTTTCAAGTCGAGTTCGCACGTCACTGCGCAATACACACATTGTGTGTGTACACACATTCATAAACTGGACGATAGCTTATTTAATGTATAAATTAATGTATATGTCCAAGAAAAGGGTAATGTCATACTTTGTAGTAGTGCTATATGGCGTAATAATCTGTTTGGTTGTAAAATGTATTACCTGAATGAAATGAAATCGAATGTATCGTCGTGTGGAATAATTCATTCACAGACAGCTTACGAAGTAACATACGAAGATGTTCAACTAATAAAGATCTTCATCGCTGGCAAAAAAATATGATGCATTTGCAGATTTACTTTCTAGACTGTACTGTAGACTACCGCCACTTCATACGTTCTTGATGTAATCTTGATGTTGATGTAATCTTCCTGTTACGACTCCGAGATGATTCAGTGCGTGCAGGAAACTGAACAGATCATTCAAACTGATTCGCGAACCGATTTAGACAGATCTGCCCAACTTGTTTGATGAAGTCTTTGAACAGAATCGACTCAAAAGAGTGATTCATTTGTGAATTGAGCATCGCTCATGCCCAGAAAAAAGAGAGAGCGCGCGCTTAGAATAAACTACGCTTTTAACAACATTGCATTAAAATAAAGTAACGAGAGGAACGTCGCCCAACGTAACGAAGTAAAAGTACCGTTTTTTCATTAGAAATGTACTCGAGTTAAAGTAAAAGTACCCACAATTAAATCTACTCTTAAAAGTAAAAAATTTCCAAAAAAATACTCAAGTAAATGTAACGAAGTAAATGTACTTCGTTACTACCCACCTCTGAATGGAACAATCACTTCTTATCTGGCTGATTCTGTACTTGAATAGATTCCTTCACTCAGAGACAAAGGGGTCATTCAGCTTTTCTGTTAAATTTCAGAATACCTGTGCTTTTGTTTGTGTAGATCAGCTACAATATTTTTTACTGCTGTGTTTTGAAGCTACTTTTCAGTTTGGTTCACACATAGTAATATATAAATTTACTGAGCTAACTAAGTTCTTAAGGGATTCTTTATCTTCTCACTCATGTTGTTAGCTTAGCAACATGCTAACATCCAATTCTATTGTAATCGAGTAAAGTCTCTCATGCACTTAAAAAAGGATTGTTCACCCTTCTGTTGGACATATAAGAAGATATTATATGAAATGTCCATACAATGGAGATTAGTGGTAACCAAAACAGTTTAACATGAGTGAGTGAATGTTTCAGATCAGTTACTGAGGTTCAATTACAGTTACATTTGGCAGACAGTAGACAGGAAGGCGGTTCGCTAAAAGCTAATGTTGTCTAATGGCTAATGATGACTTTAGTCTGAGTACAATGTGGTTTTTACTACCGTAAATTATCAAACTCTGACAAGACGAGGAGTAACACAACCATTTTGTGTGTGTATGTGCCTATAGATTTTAGAGTTACATATTAATTTACAAAAAGCTGCGGTTCTTTGTAATGATGGATCATTACTTCTCGGTACCAGCCTGAGACCACAGGAAAAAATTATTCATGCCATGCCAGTAGTTGGCGATGCCACTTTGTAAAGAAACACTACGCGCATGTAGGCTGAATGCGTAATAGGCATGTGCATGACATTACCGTTTTCACAAATTCACATTTTGTATAGTTTATATGGAGACCTGCACTTTGAAACCCGTTTTCAAAAGTTTGCATTTCCAGACCCCGACAACACTGTTGTCGTGTAAATGAACTGCCACAATACATTAAAAAGTTTTCAGTTTTTAGTTGAAAACGGTGTCGTGTAAACGGCCTCTAAAACTCTTCAACACACTTCAAAAAGAGCCTTTTACCTCCTGAAGCATGAGAACAAGGGGTAAACTGTGTGTGTGTGTGTGTGTGTGTGTGTGTGTGTGTGTGTGTGTGTAATAAAGGAAAAATAAATGTGTGTATAGGAAAAACGTCTCGGTTACGGATGTAACCCTCGTTCCCTGAGTAGGGAACGGAGACGTTCCGTCGGATGACGACGAATGGGGGTTTCGCTTAGAAGCCAATCAACTTCAAGAACTTCAAAACGAGCCAATGGCCAAGAAATGCCATGGGTCTGCGGAATTTGCATAGCGTAACTCCGCCTCACCTCGTGAGTATATAAGGAGAACGCTGGCAGCAAACCGGCATGTTTCTTCGCTGAGGAGCCAACCTGAGTTCAGGCGATCCCCGCGGTACAGCGGAAGTGGCAGGAAGACGGAACGTCTCCGTTCCCTACTCAGGGAACGAGGGTTACATCCGTAACCGAGACGTTCCCTTTCGTTGTCACTCCGAGTTCCGTCGGATGACGACGAATGGGGATACCAGTCTAATCACGCCACTTCTCGGCTGTCTTCCAGTGCCCTGCGTAAATCTGAGATCCCTGTCGTGAGACTAGCACGGACGAAGGACTCCTATTTAACACAGGAATACCAAGGTACACTGGGGAGCATATCCCAGGTCTTAGGGAAGTATGCAATTACTGCCAACCCAGAGGGGGGGACTTAGAAATACACATATGACCCGAGGGATGCATATGGGGAATCACTGGGGTATCCAGCCGCAGGTGGAATATTTCAACCCCAGGGGTGGCAAGGTGGCTTGCCAAGGGAAAGACACATGCTCAGAGAGGCTTACAGTGGGAATACACATGTGGGGGTAGCTCCGGGAGGTACCATGCACACGGGAGGCACCTAGCCGACGCGCAGGCAAGAGACACTGGCGCCGACGTCAGGAGTGCTGGAGGAACTCAGGGCTTTCGGAGAAGCTCACCTGAGGAGAATATCGCACGTATCCAGTCCGTGGAGTGGAGTGGCGAGCAAGCGAAGACACCTGAGCGGGTCCGGTACTAGCTGGTTGAAGCGAGTACATGAGAGGACACTGGCTCCACTCGGAGATTGTAGAATCTGGCGAATGTGTTAGGTGTCGCCCAGCCTGCAGCTCTGCAGATGTCTGTTAGCGAGGCGCCATGCGCTAGAGCCCAAGAGGATGCCACACTCCGGGTGGAGTGGGCAGTCACACCAAGGGGGCACGGTCGACCTTGCTGCTGGTATGCCAAAGCAATGGCGTCCACTATCCAGTGAGACAACCTTTGCTTGGAGAGAGCCTTTCCCTTCAGCTTCCCACCATAGCAGACAAAGAGCTGGTCTGAGGTCCTGAAACACTGCGTTCTGTCTACATAGATGCGGAGAGCACGTACTGGACAGAGCAGTGCCAAGGCTGGGTCTGCCTCCTCCGGGGGCAGCGCTTGCAGGTTCACCACCTGGTCCCGGAAGGGAGTGGTAGGAACCTTGGGCACATATCCAGGCCGGGGTCTCAGGATCACGTGAGAGTAAGCCGGCCCGAATTCCAGGCACGCTTCGTCAACGGAGAATGCGTGCAGGTCCCCTACCCTCTTGATGGAGGCCAATGCAGTCAGAAGCGCCGTCTTCATTGACAGGAAGTTAAGCTCGACTGACTGTAAAGGCTCAAAGGGAGCACTACGCAGGGCGGATAAGACCACTGCGAGGTCCCAAGAGGGAACGAGAGGAGGGCGAGGAGGATTCAGTCTCCTCGCTCCTCTCAGGAACCTGACGATCAGGTCATGCTTCCCCACCGACTTACCTTCTATAAGATCATGCTGTGCGGCAATAGCGGCGACATAGACCTTGAGGGTGGAGGGAGACAGCCTTCGCTCCAACCCCTCTTGAAGGAAGGAAAGCACGACGTTGATCGAACATCTCCGGGGGTCTTCTCGGTGAGAAGAGCACCAGTTGACGAAGAGGTTCCACTTCAACGCATAGAGGTGTCTCGTGGACGACGCTCTAGCGGAAGTGATGGTAGCCGCCACCGCTGGTGGCAGGGTACTCAAACCTGCCTCGTCCCGTCCAGGAGCCATACGTGGAGGTTCCAAAGATCGGGACGAGGGTGCCATCGCGAGGAGTACAAGTTCGGAGAACCAGGTCCGGGTGGGCCAGTACGGCGCGACCAGAGTGACCTGCTCCTCGTCCTCCCTGACCTTGCGCAGGAGTTGCGCAAGAAGGCTCACTGGGGGAAACGCATATTTGCGGCCCCGCGGCCAGCTGTGCGCCAGAGCATCCGTGCCGAGCGTGCCCTCGGTCAGGGAATAATACTGGGCGCAATGGGTCGAGTCGTGAGAGGCAAACAGATCTATCTGTGCGTCCCCGAACTGGTCCCAAATCAGCTGAACCGACTGGGGATGGAGTCGCCAATCTCCCGGGAGGGGCTGAAACCGTGAGAGCTCGTCGGCTGCACAGTTCAGAGCTCCTGGAATATAGATGGCACGAAGCGACCTCAGATGCTTCTGACTCCAAAATAGGAGGTGGCGGGCGAGTTGCGACATACGGCGAGAGCGCAGACCACCTTGACGGTTGATGTACGCTACAGTCGCGGTATTGTCTGATCGGACTAGTACATGCTGGCTCGAGAGCACGGCTCGGAAGCGGCGCAGGGCGAGCTGTACAGCCAGCAACTCGAGGCAATTGATGTGCCATAAGCGGTGGGGTCCTATCCAGGAGCCCGCGGCAGCACATCCATTGCACATGGCACCCCAGCCCGTGGTGGAGGCATCTGTCGTTACGACAACATGCCGAGAAGCTCGTTCCAGAGGCACTCCTGCCCGTAGAAAGCTGAGGTTCCCCCACGGGGTGAAGGTCTGACGGCAGGTCGGAGTAACTGGTACTCGGAGCGTGCCGTGTTGCCATGCCCACCTCGGGACTCGGTCGCGAAGCCAAAGCTGAAGCGGTCTCATATGAAGCAATCCGAGCGGCGTTGCCGCGGCTGCAGATGCCATATGCCCCAGGAGCCTCTGAAAAAGTTTCAGTGGAACCGCACTCTTGCCCTCGAACTGTCTCAGGCAAGTCAGCAGTGACTGCGCGCGCTCGCTCGTAAGCTGCGCGGACATGGCGACCGAGTCGATCTCCATACCGAGAAAAGAGATCCTCTGCGCGGGGCAAAGTTTGCTCTTCTCCCAGTTGACCCGAAGGCCCAAACGGGCTACATGGCGGAGTACCAAATCCCTGTGTTCGCAAAGCTGATCTCGAGAGTGAGCTAGAATCAGCCAGTCGTCGAGATAGTTCAGAATGCGAACCCCGTGTTCCCGGAGGGGAACAAGGGCTGCCTCGACGACCTTCGTGAAGACGCGAGGAGACAGGGCTAGCCCGAATGGGAGAACTGCGTACTGATATGCCTGTCCCTCGAAAGCAAACCGTAGGAACGGTCTGTGTCGAGGGAGAATGGAGACATGAAAGTAGGCGTCCTTCAGGTCGATCGCTGCAAACCAATCCTGGTGCCGCACACATTCGAAAACGCGTTTGGCGGTGAGCATCTTGAACGGCAGCCTGTGAAGGGAGCGGTTCAATACGCGCAGGTCCAGGATTGGCCGTAACCCACCGGTTTTCTTCGGGACAATGAAGTAGGGGCTGTAAAACCCGGACCTCATTTCGGCTGGAGGGACAGTCTCGATCGCACCCTTCGCCAGCAGGGTAGCAACCTCCGCTCTCATGATAGGGGCATTGCCACCGACCATAGTGGAGCGGACTCCCCTGAAGCGGGGAGGAGACCGCGCGAACTGAATCGCGTAGCCGAGCCTGATCGTTCGTGCGACCCAGCGGGACAGGTTGGGAAGCTCTAGCCAAGCTCCCAAGGACTGAACCAGCGGGGTCATGCGAACCACAGACTTCCCGTCGGTGGGGCAGCGAGGCGGTATGACTGACCCAGACGTGGACGGCATAGCGGCCCGGTGTGGGGGTACAGTCATAGACCGCGTCCTGACAGAGCAGACCAGGGAAGGACGAACGTTCCACGGGGGTCTGCTCTGCCAGGGGTCTGGCGACAGAGGAGGATGAGAGTGGTACGGTCCGTGGACGGCGCGCACTGTCATCCGGCTCTGGGACAGAGGAGGACGAGGGGTGCACGGCCCGGGGGCGGCGCACCGTGTCGTCCGAGAACTCTGTGTGCTCAGAGATGAATGTGTCACTTCTCTCAAGATTCTCCCCCGGCCCTCCACCGGGGGAAGGAGTGGTCCTGCTACCACCTCCTGAGAAGTGTACATCATCCCTGAGCAGCCCGTCTCAGGAGCGCCGCTTGACCCGGCATTTAGCGGGGGGCGGGACTGGAGAGGGCTGGGGCGCCTTCCTACGGCCTCCTCCGCGACCGGGCCCGGGTGAAGGCTGCTGCTTGGGCCGGGCGGGAGGGGTGGGAGCCGTAGGAGGGCGCCCTCGGCGGGAAACAGACTGAGTATTCTGCCCGGTCGGCTGAGTGGAGGCAGCAGCGGGCCGTCGGGGCAGAATGTGCTTAATAGCCTCAGTCTGTTTCTGGGCAGTCGAGAACTGTTGGGCAAAATCCTCGACTGCACCGCCGAAAAGGCCATCTTGCGATATGGGGGTGTCGAGCAGCCGGGACCGCTCGGCATCCTCCACATCAGCAAGATTAAGCCAGAGGTGTCTCTCCTGGACCACGGCTGTGGACATCACCAGACCCAGGGAGCGTGCGGTCACCTTCGTCGCTCGGAGAGCAAGGTCGGTGGCGGCGCGCAGCTCATTGAAGAGCCCCGGGTCTGTCCTGCCCTCGTGCATGTCCCTGAGCATCTGGGCCTGGTAGACCTGCAGAATGGCCATGGCATGCAAAGAGGCGGCTGCCTGCCCCGCAGCTCTGTAGGACTTCGCCACTAACGCAGACGAGTACATACAGGCTTTGGATGGGTGCTTAGGCTCACCACGAGAAGAAGCGCTCTGAGGACACAGTTGCATCGCAACAGAGCGTTCAACCGGGGGGAGCCCAGTGTACCCACGGGCAGCGGCCTCATCGAGGGGAGGAAAGGCGGATGAAATCAGCGAGCGGTCACGGGAAGACATGGGAGTCTTCCAGGACTTCGAGATCTCATCATGCACGTCCGGGAAGAAAGGTATCGGGGCCTGACGCGGACGGGGGTCCGCAGCCTGACCCAAATACCAGTCATCCAGCCGCGAGCGCTCGGGGCAGGGCGGAGGGTTCCACTCTAACCCGATGCTCGCGGCGGCTCGAGACAGCATGGCCGTCATCTCTGGATCAGACTCTAGCACAACTGTATTCACACCCGAAGGTGGCAGCTGTGATGAGTCTTCACTTCCAGAAGACTCAGACCCACCTTGTGATACTGCGATAGACATCGCGTCATCCTCTGGAGCGTCAAAGGAAACCTGCGGGACACCCGAAGATGATCCCGCCGGAATCCCCCGAACACTCACGGGTTGCAGCACTGGAGAGGATGCGGCTGGGCACGGACTGATAGTCGGCGCTTTGTTCCAAACCGTCATCCTCAGATCACCCTGGCCACCAGCCGAAGTACTAGCTCTATTTCTAGAGTCAGTAGATCGGGGTGTGGATGAGGGGACCCTCACTCTTGCGAGATCACCGAGTCTTGATCGTAATGCTGCGATGGTCATGTTCCCACAGAGAGAACATGAGTCATCCACGAGTGCTGCTCTAGCGTGATTAATGCCCAAACACACTATGCACCACTCGTGCCCATCAGAGTCATCAACGAGTCTACCGCAACCAGAAGTGCACGGGCGAGGCATCTTTAAAAAGACGTGCCGCGTGCAAGCTCTTTTGTGAGAAAAGAAACTCTGACTGTGTTGAAGCGCCCGGGGAGAAACACACTCGCTGTCGAATCACGGACAGAAAAGCAGGAAGCGCGTCCTCGCCGGAGATCGCCGTCACACCAACACCAGAGAATCTCGCTCGTCTGAAGAACTGACAGTACAGAGATGGCTGTGGAACGAAGGATTAACTTGGCTCCAAAGCGAAAACATGCCGGTTTGCTGCCAGCGTTCTCCTTATATACTCACGAGGTGAGGCGGAGTTACGCTATGCAAATTCCGCAGACCCATGGCATTTCTTGGCCATTGGCTCGTTTTGAAGTTCTTGAAGTTGATTGGCTTCTAAGCGAAACCCCCATTCGTCGTCATCCGACGGAACTCGGAGTGACAACGAAAGGGAAGGCCAGTATTGAGCTGTGTACTCAGCCCATAACTGAGCAATCCATTCATGTCTCTGTCCTTCAGAGAACAGAGTCTGTTTTTTAAAGCAAGTCCTGTGGTTTTGAGGGAGGTGTAGCTCAAGGGCCAGTCTCAGAAAGTCAAACCGAATATGTCCAATATTTGTTCAGTTTCTGAAACAGCCCTGTTGATGCTTAGCAATAAAACCAATACAAATTCTCAACAATAATCACTTTTTTGGACAGTTTTCAATATGTTTGCACAGACAGCTTCACAGTGAGGTCTGCCAAATAAAGTGTGATTTCAGCTTAGTCAAACATGATATTCTGCAGTGTTAAACGTGCATTTGAGATACATTATGTCTTCAAACAAGAGTAGACAGTTAATTGAAACATTTTAGAACATAATTTGGTCACAATCAACAGATTAAGTTACTCATATGCGTTAACTTTTGACTCCAAACTCAATCATTAAGTTGATGACAGTTGCATTACTGTAATATTTTCTTTTATCTTACAGATTTACTATTTGTCATAAGACAGAGGTGGTGAAGAACACGCTGAACCCTGTGTGGCAAGCCTTTAAAATCCCCGTCAGAGCCCTGTGCAATGGCGATTTTGACAGGTATGGAGTGTTTTGTACTGCGTTAAGGTATTTTTAGGTTTGATCTCCTCACATTTGAACAACATTTAAAATACAACTGATCAACTCATCATGCATCAATTCAATTCTAAAATCCATATTCATATTATATTTATTTGATACCTGTAAACAGCATACAGCTGGACCAAATGTTGTTGTCACCAATTTAAAAAATGCCCCTTTTATGCCCCTTTAAATGTAGTTTTTGGAGGCATCCTACAATAGTTTTAAATGCAGCCCATCATCCAAAGTCAAACAAACACATTGCAATATCACCTCTTTTCTCACAGTGTCTAAACAGTTCGATAAATTATTCGGTCTCTCTAAACTCTGCCTTTCCGAGAGCCTACTCTGCTTTGATTGGGTCAGATGGACCAGTCTGTTGTAATAGGTCTACTCTGCCCTACAAAGGCAAAATGCTAGTGTGGAACTGAGAAAAATGACTTTAAAGATTTTTAGTTGTCTATAAATAAATGTATTATAGGTAGGACACTGGGAATCTGGCAATAAGAAGTTTTAGTAATGAAAATTATCTACATAAAAAATTCTTGAGCTCAAACTTGACTTTTAACGCCTATTTTACTGTACTCTGCCTTTGTATTGGCTACAAAAAGTGAGAAGTCACACCAAGGCAAAAGGCAGTAACTTTCACATTATTATTAATATTTGGTTGCTGATCACCATTTACAAAATCATTATAGTAACACCTGTATAAAATCTAGTGATCATGGCATTTATTTTGAATTATTTACAATTACGTATAGCCATCGTATTGATATGCAATGCCTTGGTTGCATTCTGATGGCATTATTAATACATTAGACATGAAACAATACTAGTGTCAAACTCTGAGATGTTCTGAAACGCTAACATAGCTTAATGCATTAGACTGATATTAAAAGAAATAAATGATATTATCAAACTCAGTTTCTGTACATAGTATGCATTATTAGTATGGTGTTTACTGAGTATTGGATTACTGAGTTAATATCATTTATTTATTTCAATATCAGTCTAATGCATTGATATGTGTAGAGTTACATTCAAGCTACACTATATTGCCAGACGTTTTGGGACGTCTACCTTTACATGCACATAAACTTTAATGACATCCTATTCTTAATCTGTAGGGTTTAATATGGAGTTGGCCCACCCTTTGCAGCTACAACGAGATGGCCCTCACTGCAGAACACGAAATCCAGGGCGAGGAGTTAGATCCAGATCCAACTCCTCCCACCTTACATATACCTAAACCTACCCATCTCTGCCCCCTGATCCCTAACCCCAGCCCTAAACCTACCCATCTCCGCCCCCTGATCCCTAACCCCACCCCTAAACCTACCCATCTCCACCCCCTGATCCCTAACCCCACCCCTAATCCTACCCATCTCCACCCCCTGATCCCTAACCCCACCCCTAATCCTACCCATCTACACCCCCTGATTTCTAACCCCACCCCTAAACCTACCCATCTCCACCCCCTGATCCCTAACCCCACCCCTAATCCTACCCATCTCCACCCCCTGATCCCTAACCCCACCCCTAAACCTACCCATCTACACCCCCTGATCCCTAACCCCACCCCTAAACCTACCCATCTCCACCCCCTGATCCCTAACCTCACCCCTAATTCTACCCATCTCCACCCCCTGATCCCTAACCCGACCCCTAAACCTACCCATCTCCACCCTCTGATCCCTAACCCCACCCCTAATCCTACCCATCTCCACCCCCTTATCCCTAACACCACCCCTAATCCTACCCATCTCCACCCCCTGATCCCTGACCCCACCCCTAATCCTACCCATCTCCACCCCCTTAGATCTGGGTCCAACTCCGCCCCCTGGATCTCGTGTACTGCAATGAGGTGCTACTGGCTATAACAGCTTCAACTCTTCTGGGAAGGCTTTCCATGAGATTTAGGAGTGTGTTTATGGGAATTTTTGACCATTCTTCTAGAAGAGCATTTGTGAGGTCAGGCACTGATGTTGGACAAGAAGGCCTGGCTCGCCGTTCTATCGGGTTGAGGTCAGGACTCTGTGCAGGACAGTCAAGTTCCTCCACACCAAACTCGCTCATCCATGTCTTTATGGACCTTGATTTGTGCACTGGTGCGCAGTCATGTTGGAACAGGAAGGGAACACCCCAAACTCTTCCCACAAAGTTGGGAGCCTGAAACTGTCCAAAATGTCTTGGTATACTGAAGCATTAAGAGTTCCTTCCACTGGAACTAAGGGGCCAAGCCCAACCCCTGAAAAACAACCCCCAACCATGATCCCCCCTCCACCAAACTTTACACTTGGCACAATGCAGTCAGGCAAGTACCGTTCTCCTGGCAACCGCCAAACTCAGACTCGTCCATCGGATTGCCAGACAGTGAAGCGTGATTCGTCACATTAGAGAACACGTCTCCATTGCTCTAGAGTGGCGGCGTGCTTTACACCACTGCATCCGGCGCTTTGTACCACGCTTGAATTCACTGAGCTCCTGAGAGCGACCCATTCTTTCACAAATGTTTGTAGAAGCAGTCTGTGTGCCTAGGGGCTTGATTTTATACAACCGTGGCCATGGAAGTGATTGGAACACCTGAATTCAATGATTTGGAGGGGTGTCCCAATATTTTTGGCAATATGGTGTATTTTAAGGCATGAGGACATTTTCTTTTTCAAGGAAAAAGGTTCAAATATGTCATTTTGGTCATCAAAGATGAGTTTTAAGGGATACAATGATTGACTACAGGGGGACTTTAAGAGACATAAGATAGTCAGACAGACCCAACAGAGAAAGATACAACACTGTATCCTGGAAGCCTCCATCATGAGCAGCTCAAACGGGGCTCTTGCTGTGTGGCGATAAAACGGGAAGCTTCCTCACGGCAGCGGCACTCACTGATGAGTATCAATCTGTACCTTAACGCACTCTCCCACACAATGCCTCGGCTTTATCTCCGATTGAACATGTGGGAAACGAAAGAGAGAGACGGACAGACATAGAGGAAGAGCACTGGGCATCCGTAGGAGTCTGGGACACGAGATAAGCCTGTGCAGACGCTCTAATAAAGAAGCACGGAGTGTCTCGCTGATGATAACACTGAGAATGGGTGCTAAGGGATGCTGTGGGGATTGGGTTGTTGTTAGCATGTGTTGCGTTAAAGCTCTGTGTAATTGACAGAGCTGTTCTGTTTGAACTGTGCAAACTCATCACTCGCCTGTCACGCCACGGACAGCAGAAGTCGTAATTATTTTTCTGTCAAAACTCACTAATCCGACCCTCTAACCCTGTTATGCGAAAAGAAAGTGCCATGGAAGGAAGAGTAAGCTGATTTTTAGAGATATTTTAGTAATAAGTCCAATTATAAAATGGATAGTTCTGGCTCTAAAATCTGATTGGATGGGCCATGTTTAAAACATTTTCTAAATGTATATATAATTCTATATAACCACTTCAAAAACAGCCTTCACAGACAGCACAGTATGTCTGATTTTAGTCATATCGGAATGATAAAATTCACGCTAATTATTAGTTTCTTCAAGGAAATTGCATTTTTTAAATGATTCAAATTGAACATTTGAAGGAAGTTCTTGTGGTTTTATTATAGTCAATGATACCTGATGTTCTTACTTTGTTCTTCAAGTTTTTGAAAAAGAATAAAGAGGTTAATTAGCGCAGTGAATAAAGTATTTATCTGTCGTCAACAATAAAGCTCTACACATTTTTTTTTTGTGTGGTTATCATAAGAATTACCATGGAAACAAATCATTTCTGAGTCCAACGACATGAACAACTCTGTAGAATCTCAGAGTTGTCATCTATGATAATTCCAACATGACATCAACACAACTTTAGGCTAATGAACAATATTACTTTAGAATAGTTGATTAAAAAGGCTTTCCAATGCAAGGATCACTATTACTATAGGGTTACACTTTTGGATGCAGCATTTGTGCTTTGGAATTTATTAAACGAATGATACATAATACAGTATTCCAATTTAATCTGGCAGACAATAAAATGTAAACGAACAACAACAACAAAAATGTGTTCAAACAAGCAGTAAAAAAAAAAAGTCAATAAGCCTGAACAGCAAATAACATGACTTATTGTTTACAAGCTCAATCAAAACTATATCATATATCAGTAGACCTTTCCATCATGCACACACATGCTATATACATATATTTGATTATGTGAATTATTGTGGCATGGAATAATTTAAGTCTCTAATCATGGATGGAATCATATTTCATAAATCTCAACACTACAGTTTATGTTTAATATGGACCAATTCTCTCTCTCTCTCTGTCTCTTTCACAGAGCGATCAAGGTTGAGGTGTATGACTGGGATCGTGATGGCAGGTAATGAACTGTAAACTGTCACATGAAGCTTAAAATACTCATCTGACACTCACTGCATACATCCATTAATTATAGGGTACAGATAGCTAAAGTCTTCTCGGTGGGATACAGGAATTGAGCATGAAACAAATGATCAAATTGAACAGTACATTTTTTTTTTGAGTACATTAGTGTTTTTAAACTAAAAAAGTCAAATACTTAATTAAAAAAAAAATTCATGGTCAAAATATGCGCAAAAAGATGTCCTATAGATATGCATAAGCCCAAAACACACACTTTTGTGTTTAAAATGTTTCAGAACTCAATTCATGAAGGAAACACCAGTATGTGCAAACAAGCACAAAAGCTTTGAAATATACTTGTTCCTCCTAATTTTTCCATAACCATTTCCCCTTAGGGGCTCCAAAGTATTCTGATTATGTATTTTTCAGTACATAAACCATAACTGCATATACTGTAAATATACATATTAGACTCTTATTTAGATACATTATTGGCTGGGATTTGTAAGCACGTTTGTATGTTTTTGTACTTTTTTCGGAACCCAAATAAAACCTGATCAGTCCGTCCAACGCTATCTCACGACCGATTCGTACGAGTGAGTACGAGGTGGCTAATTCGTACGAATTCGAACGACCTCAGTCGTACGAATTCGTACGATTTGTCTAAACCCCAGTGATGGGTATGTTTAGGGGCGGGGTCAGGGGTTGGTCATTCGTATGAATTCATACGAATTGGGCAACTCGTAAAATATGTACGATTTAGCAAAAAATAAATAAAAACGTATGATTCCGTACGAATTAGCCACCTTGTAAAATACGTACGAAGTGCTGTGAGATCGGGTTGGTCCATCACATACATTCATATATATGATCATATTTGATAGGGTTTTTTTTTTTGTATCAAGTGCTTTGATCTAAAATAATGAATCTTTTCATTCATAGCATGATAAAAGGCTGGGTACTGTGAAATTTCAGTAACTTATCAGAGCTACATTTTTTAAAATGTAAAGCTCATTATGAAACGAATGTAATGTCCTCCAACAATGTCTCTGACCAATCTGTGTGTGTATGTGTGTGTTTTACAGCCATGACTTCATTGGAGAATTCAGCACAAGCTATAGAGAACTGTCAAGAGGCCAGTCACAATTTAACGTGTATGAGGTAATCTTATACATTTTAATAATTTGCAAAGCTCATTAACACGGTATTTTTCATAACTTCACAGTATAACAAATATATCTGTGGTGGCAAACAAAATTCTATCACTGAATAAGAGACACACGTGTCCCAATCCCTTGCAAGGAAAGGGCAGAAAGTGACAGTGAAGGGAGGGCATCCTTCCTCCGTTATAGTCTTGACTCCCGGAACGTTATCTTTCTAGGCTAATGAAAATATTTTCAACCATGCGTGGGACATTTCTAGACTTGTTCATCATATTATACCCTTGAGCGTATAGGCCGTTCTGTCACAGTCATATAATAGTCACACATTTCCAGCCATGTATACAATGGTCATATACATCCATTCATTCATAAGATCAATAACTGTTCTTTGTTCTATCAAATCAGCAGAGAAGCACGTGACTCCACATGCAATCCTCCTGCAAATTATCTTATTATAATTACTGAAAAATACATAACATACCGATATTACATTTCTTCCACATAACTTACAGTATTCGACTTAGGCTGCAACTTCTGAATAAGTGAGAAAATCACAACTTCCAGACAACTTGCGAAAGTAATTTGTTTTCTCTGCAAATCTTCCACGCATTACAGTTCTCAGTGTGTGGGTACCAGAAAATAACTTTAAGATATTTATGCATAATGAAAACCTATCTTAAAGAAACACATGACTACATGAAGTGTAGCTGGTTCCTTCAACACAATCAATTTTGACATGAAACATATTTTTCCACTTAAGTAGATGTACAGTAGACTTGCATATGAAAGACATTTGGCTCGAGAACATCAAACCCAAACTAAAGATAGATATTTTTTACTATAGGTGTTGTTTATCATTTTAGCACAGTTCATTTATAATGTTAGCGAAGGAGCTTGTCATGATAATTTTCCACCTTCTTTATGGGCACAATGACATTTAATAATAATAACAATGCACGCAATAACGATATTTGGTATATTTGAAGTGAATTTACTGTTATTTAGAGCAGAATTTTGGACCAGCTTTTATTAAATTATACTTTTGGACCGGGAAGGAAGTTTTGAGTTCTGAAAATTTAGTACGTTTTCATAAGACTTTTTAAATCTGAAATGATGAGGAAAATGTGTGAATTTCAGATATGAGGATTTTGGGGTCATAATTCATATTACTTATAAATGTTGTCATTGTTTAAGTTAAAAGTAAATGCACCATTCAAAAAATGAGTACTGAAAATAATAAGTACTGAAAAGTAGTGAAATATTTGGTCAAGCATCTTTCCCTGAGACTGCTGCTCCTATCAAATCTAAATAACAAAATGACAAATCTGAGAGAAATTCCGTCGTTTGATAAAGGGATGATATAAAAAAAATCAATGTTTTCTCAATTAGAGTGAGTAATTTCACATTGTCATTTAAGAGAAACACTCAGCAACGTGAGAATTTAGTCACAGATCTTGAGATGTTAGCAGATGTTCTCATTCCACAGGCACTGCATTTGTTCATAACTCATTTAGCATGGGAGGAAGAGATACTTTATTTTATATTTTTATATATGTGGCTCAGGCTTTTCCATATGTGCATAATTGTCACTATAATCTCAGTCTTTTGTTGTGTTTGGTTGGTCTCGCATATTTCTCTAGCCTCTTGTTTTACTTTATTTTTCCCTTTCTCCTTTTCTTGCATGCACAAATATGTTCATGGTGACACTTACTTATATATATATATATATATATATATATATATATATATATATATATATATACCAGTAAGGATTGGAATGAAACAATGCATTTAACAATTCTGGTTCCAATTCCACTTTATAACAAGATAAAGGTTTTAAGGTGAAAAACAAAGTAAAGGAAATAAAGGAATCAATTATTAATTTATTCATTTAAAACTAAAAATGTAAATCACTTTACAAATGACAAATGAATATATGAATTTCTACACTGTAAAAAATTATATGACCAAAATAAGTTATGACAACATTTGGAATTGGAACAATTGGAACATTTACATTGCTTTAACTCATCAAAATAAGTTAACTTTTTTATGTTACACAAGATTCAAATCATTTTTAATTCAGTTTAATGTAATTTAAGTTTAAATGACTTAAACATCCAAGTTGATTGTACTTAATTTAAGGCAGCAACTTTTTTTTTTCGTTTTTTTTTTTTTACAGTGTACATATAGTTTTAATTTAACTTGGACTGTGTGTAGAAGGGCTGTCGTATAAATACAGTCCATACATCTAAATTATGTAGCGTTTATAGTCTTATACAAATCCCATTATCCCTTAAGCAATTCATTTTTTCTCCACAGGTCATAAACCTTAAGAAGAAAGGCAAGAAGAAAAAATATCTCAACTCTGGAACAGTAAGCAAACATTTTTCATGTTGCTTTCTTGCTAGTGTATGATTTTGTTTTTGATGATTGATTTTTTCTGAGTCGGAGAGAAACTACAAGTAACATTGCCGCTGGGTGATATGACACAAATGTGGTAACACTTTACAATAATAAGGTTCATTAGTTACCTTAGTTAACATGAACTGAGAATGAACAATACTTCTACAGCATTTATTCATCTTAGTTAATATTAATTTACTAATGCATTATTAAAATCAAAGGTTGTATTTCTGATCATTAGTGAACTAACATGAACATGAAACAATGAACAGCTGTATTTTTATTAACTAACATTAGCAAAGATTAATAAATACAGTAGCAAATATATTGCTCATTGTTAGTTCATGTTAGTTAATACATTAATGTTAACTAATGAACCTTATTGTCAAGTGTTACCAAAAAAGTTATATTTACATTTATTTCACAATAACGATATAACTGACACTTTAGATGACACTGTCAACATTTGTCACTCTATTTTATATAACATCTGTACATTGAATTCTGTCTAGTTTTTAGTTTGACAAGCTACAATTTCAAAGACGTTTTCCTAACAGTTTTTAGTTTTTGTTGTGTATGCTTGAGGCAGTCCCTTTATTTAAATCAGAATCACTCAAAAGAATCAGTCAATCGTTGATATGACGACATGGCGGCACACAGAATCACATTGTCCGACTTCATGTTTCCAGGTGACACTGCTCTCGTTTCTCGTTGATATTGAAGTCACCTTCCTGGACTACATCAAAGGCGGGTAAGTGATGTTTCGCTCATGTGCAAACACTTCTTCTTTTACAATCAGCTTCTGAGGTGGAAACCCCAACAGACAACAAATGCTCGTGGAAAAAAAAGTGACTTGGTGTATTTCAACTCTCACATTACTAGTGGTGAACCCCCCAGAACGTAGCCTGCGTCCTCAACAGCAGGTCTCGACAGGTTCTTGAAGTCCTTCTAGGCAATTAAACTGGCAATACAGATGACAGACTTCAAGCCGGACACCATGAGTGATCAGGTCCATTCATGGTAGATGATAGATGAGGTTGGGTTGCTATTCTTAGCGCAGGTGTGTGCGATTAAATGCGAGGGGTAGGCAGGGTTCATCCATGCATGGCAGATCGCACGCCCACACTGAGCGACTCTTTTCATTATGGTGGCTGCGGTCACCTCTGCTCTGACACGACACCACCAGACGTCCATTTTAATGGCTACTCCTTCCTTTTAGTCTGAGATGTTGTGGTGAAAGGTCGGTGCGCTCGAGATGAATTCCTCTGCATGTGTCTCTCACACTTGCTGTAACCGTACTGGAATGTCCAGCTCATCATTTATTGATTTCATCCAATTTCAAAGCAGAAATCAAAACTCGATCGTGTTTATTAATTGTGTTATTAATCGAATTGCGTTATTAATTCTAATTATGATGTTCCTAAGACATAAGCTGGTAAAATGTTGGGTGTAGTAACCGAACACAATGCACTTTTTTTTTTTTTTTTATTCTTCACACTCAAGCTTCATTAGAGGTGAAGAGAATCAGGGAATAATGACATCAGTGTCAATGACAGAGAAAAAGACAAACTTTTTAAAAGGAGGGAAAACCCTTTTGCCAAGTGATTAGAAATGTACTCTTTGTATTCGTGTTGGTTCCATGAGGTTTTGATGAAAAATGTCTGACAAACATTTTTCAGATATTAATATGCAAAAGAGCAGTTTTGTTTAACTATATTTTTTTAAGAGATAACAATAAATGACTATGCCAAAAGGCGTAATAAGGTTGACTTTTAAGTCATTTCATTCTTATTTTTCCCCTTTATTTTGATATTGGTTCTTTCACCCTGACATTTTGTTACTTTATGTCCCCCCAAAATATCAAATTACTATTAAAAAAACGTGTATCATAGAAGAGATGTATTGAAGTCACGCTATGTCTGAATTACATTTTTAATAAATAAATAGATAGGAAAAAAATAAGTGTCATGCGGTCGACTCCTACATTTCAATCTGTTCTTCACACAAAGTATGGTTTCAGAAGACCTCGAGGGGATAGAAAGGCGTAGCGCCAAACACTAGTCCCAAACAGATGAGTAATAATATAATAAATAAAATCCTGTGAGCAATAAACAATAAAACAATCAACAATAAAATCCGGTGAGCTTTTTGGCCTATATTCGTGTGATGATCTTTTTTCTGATATATTTTAGAAGACTTCGTAAATGAACTATGTAACGATGTTAAAGGCAACAAGGCAGGAATTGGCAAAAGTTCAACATAACTTTAATAAAAATTAGGGCTGTCAGTTAAACGCGTTATTAACGGCGTTAACGCAAACCCATTTTAACGCGATTAATTTTTTTATCGCGCGATTAACGGTCTTTTTGGCCTTGCAAACTTTGTTGTTTTTTTCACATAATTTTGCAACCGGACGCGGCATGCGCAGCGCTATGAAACCCATTCATTTCAATGGCTTGCGCTGCGCGAGGACGTTTTGTTGCTTCGTCGACCAAAGCGCAAGAGCAGCAGCGTGCACACCGCGGTCAAAATTCTAAATAGTTCAACTTTTGCCGTTGTGGCGATTACCAGCGCGGCCAATAGAAACGTTTTGGCATCCAAAAAGTTTTGAAAACTGGCGTAGCGCTGCGCATTCCGCGTCCTTTCTGAAAGCACCGGATCTAGCTAGATCGGAAACACACTTGTTGCGAGCCGGCCAAATAGTTGGTTAACGTTACGTTTTGAGTGGATGACGAGCGCGAGACGCCGAAATGGATGCCAATAAGATTCTGAATGGAAAGTTTACTTTTAAAAAGTTGCCAAATGGTTCCATTGACAAGAGCAAAGTGATCTGTGTGTTTTGTCGTTGTGAACTGAGCTATCATCATCGCAGCACGTCCAGTCTGAAAAAACACTTGATGATGGCCAAGCACACACACACAGCTGATGCGAATTCTCCGCCCCCTCGTCAATATCAGGACCTCGTCAGTATTTCTTTCACCTTTTTATTGATGGACAGTGTTACATTGTGTGAGAGATTATTTGCTCCAAGTGAAAATGTTTTAGTGTGAAATTGAACACAGTATTGTCAATGTTGTTTTCAATAAAAAACATTTGCACAAAGCAAGCCGATCCACTTTTTCCTGTTGATAAGAGCATTAAAATTAGAAAAAATAATGGGACAAAAAGAAATCAAGAGACATTTAGAATAGATAAAAATGTGCGATTAATTGCGATTAATCGCGAGTTAACTATGACATTAATGCAATTAATCGCGATTAAATATTTTAATCGTTTGACAGCACTAATAAAAATATAAACATAAAAAACAAAGCAAAAGTAAAGCTCACGGATGACTTCCGCATAAACTAAGGGTACGTCTACGCGATAACGATATGCTTAAAACGGAGAAGTTTTCCGCGTACAGACGACACCATTGCCAAAACGTTCCCCATTCACCCGGATCTGCGAAAACCACTAAAAACGCTGTATTCTGCTGCCAGGCCATTAGATGGCGATGAAACACTATAGACTGAACACGTAATACGCATGTGCATGACGTCATCGTCTACCGAGATTAGCGGTTTTATTGTTTACACAGAGACCGTTTTAAAAAACGTGCACTTTGAAACTCATTTTCAAAAGTTTGCGCTTTCACCCAAAAACGCCGTTGTCGTGTAATTAAACGGACAAAACGCATACAACGTTTTACATTTTTAGTTGAAAACGTTGTTGTGTAAACAGCCCATAAAACAAAACAATGACATAAAGTCCAGGCCTGGTCCTGCCTCATGTCGTCACCCCTCTTTTTATCCTTCCGGAGCTCTTCCGTGGGACTCGAGACCAGTGTGGTGTGCCACAAACTGTTATAATTCTTTTAATAGTGCTTCTAGAGTTTTTCTGTCATGGTCACAACTGTGTAAAGATTCTTCAAAAATATCAAATTTTGTGTTTCATTCCCAGGAACAACCACATGTAAGAATAAACTATAGCAGAATATTCATTTTTTGGCTGAACTATTCCTTTAAGCGAGTAAATAGAAAGACATGCACATGCGAACTCACATACAGTATGTGCATTTAGATATTTTATCTTATTTTTCAGAAGACAACTCCCAAAGCGGTGTTTCTTGGCGGTAATGGCTGCTGTTTTTCGGTGCATGTCATTGTGTGAACGGCTAGAGTGGAAAGTTATGTGGGCTGTAAATGGATTTTGTCGAGAACTCTCGCGCATTACGTAATGGCAGCCACGTTTTCGGTTCCCCTATTTATGCACATTTTTCCTCTGCCGTGATAAAAGCTTCTCTGCACCTGTTGGCTGTTGCAGTATGAAACACTGTTAGTGTAATTCTGCATGACAGTGTTTATGCTGTAGCCCACAGCAAAATACTCTAACTAAATGAGCACACTTACTGAAAAAGTTGGTACATCTACCTTGCTTGCTCAATACCAAGTTGAGATTTAAAGGGAGTTTGAGAAGTTTTATAAGAATTATATTATATATTTAAATATTTTTATTACTCTCTGATCTAGTTGTGAGAAACACGTTTGAAACCATTGTAAAGACACTCATATACAGTGTGCACACCTGTGACCGTACTGTATATCAACTGAATTCTATATAATAAAGTTACTTGGCAACTGCAAACTGCCTGTAAAAACAGTAATGCGCTATAATTATTTGGCATTGTGTCATGCCTAACAACCTGCTTATGTGATATTGTTTATCATATCAAAATCAAATTTAAAATGTATCAAATTTATCTGCAACCCTGCTGAGGATAAAGCGGTTTGGAGAATGAATGGATGGATCTTTTTGTCTTTTTTTACCAATCATAATCCACATCGAAGCTCTTTTTTTATTAAATTGGATATTACATTTAAAATGAAAATTACTTTAAAAAAAAAAAAAAAAGTTTTACATTTAAATGCAATTACTCAAGTTACTCATGGCTTAGTTAAATATTTATTTACGTAGACTTTTTATATCCACTGTATTTAATTGCCATTATTTGACCTGTTATTAGGCCTACTGAATGCTTTAGTGTGATAAACAGCTAGAGCCCTATTTTAACGATATAAGCGCATGGTCTAAAGCGCACGGCGCAAGTGCACTTAGGGCGTGTCCGTATCCACTTTTGCTAGTTTAACGACGGGAAAAATGGTCGGCGCTCCCGGCGCATGGTCTAAAAGGGTTGTCCCTATTCTCTTAATGAGTAATGGGTGTGTTTTGGGCGTAACGTATGCATTTGCCATTTAAACAACGTGGCACAGGACAGGAAAATGATAACTGCGTCAGGCTGAAACTAGCAAAAAACACTGGCGCCGCATTCCGCCGGGTGTATGATAGGGCCCCAAGTGTTTCTCCCTTATCTTCTCTCTCTTTTCTACTCTTATCTCTCTCATCGCCATCTCTCTGTCATCTGTCCGTTTGTGGCGTCCCTGAGCAGTGATTGACACTAGTCTGGAGTGCACCTCATTAGCTGCAGGAGATGAAGAGCACAGCGCTCTAGAGAGACAGCCACTGTGATGAAGAACAATCCAATCAGTTAATTGGTATTAGGGAGCCCTCAAGGAGAAGAACTCTGCGAGCATCTGCAGTCGTAAATTACAGCTCTGTGTGTGGAGTTATCTCAAAGGACAGCTGTTGTCAGCTACGTTTGTGTGTTTGGTTGACGATTTTGCTCCCTGGATTGAGCCACGCTAACAGCTGTCTTTTTACATCAGAGGGAAAAGCTCGACGGATTTACGATTCATTAATTATTTTACGCTG